TGCATCTGAGGCATCCACAACTACAGGTGCTTTCAGACCCTGATCTTCACTGAATCCATGTGCGATCATTCAATCTTCAAACAGTCCCTTCTTGCTAGATTGAGAATGAAAAATGAAACAAGTGGTTACATTGTTCTCTTTGAAAAAGCTTGTCCAGAATCCAGGCATGTTTGCACAGATTTTATCAATTCCTAATTAGAAAAAACAGAGGCAGCTCGCTTTCCAAGGAATAGCAAACCACAACCACTGAAATCAGTACAAACTCTTTGTGCCCGCAGTGCCTTACGGACTTTCAAAGAGGGTCATACTGAATCGCTGCTTTTTCTTTCCTCTTGGCATTGTATTTGGAATCAGCATCTCTAAACTGCACCAGAGCACTAATAAAATAATTAAAACAGTGTTTCCTTGTAATTACTACATATCTTCATTGTGAGCATTGCAGGCCTCCTGCTGCTCTTTAATGCAAAGAAAGTTGTATTCATTTCTGGCAACTCTCACAAAATTTTATATTGCCATGTTTTTTCGTCAGGTGTCCTCATCCACAGAATGTTATATACTGTTCAGTTGACTCCAGGAGAAGTTGTTATATGTTGTGTGTACCAAAATAATCACCAAAGCTCAAGGTTTTTTTTACACAAACCATCCTAAAATAAATAAGGTTAGAGACTTAATTGGAAGAGGTCTCAGTTTCTGTTGTTTTTTTTTTTTTTTGACATCTGAGCCTCTGAGACCTCCAAACTCCAGCCTTTGTCTAGCTCATAACCATTACAAATATCAACACATCTTGAGTGTTAGCAAACATGCCTTACTAAATATTTTCCTCTGAATTTTCACTCCTCAGTGAATAGCAAAATCTATTTTAATGCACCAATTTTCATTAACAGGCTTTACAAATATCAGCAGGATTTACAAAACCATCATAGTGATCATCCGTAAAGCTCATACAGATGTATTTTTGTGTTCATGAAGGAAGCGGCTGTTTGTTGAATTTAAGTTAGTGAAATCTTCTTTGACATACAGACTGTGAACGTCATCATATTGGCATGCCCAGTACATATCAACAGTTCCTGTAGTGTTTCATAGCTTCAAGGCTTATTAGACCATTTCTCTGCAATTCCCTGGGCAGTGTTTGAGCCACAGATGTCGAAAAGAAAACAGACAGCAAATACACAGGAGAGTACAGAAAATCCTCTACTTCCATTGTAGACTTAGTCTATGTCCACTAAAACTGTATTCAAACAGTGAACAGAGTAAATGGCAGGAGGAATTTGTCAAATAATAGTTCTAAATCTTTTCAGTGCAAAAGATGTTAATGACAGATACATCATGCTCTCTTTGGCTCACAGAGTTCTCTCATTTGTTTTCCTGATACATTGTGAGTTTTTCATAAGTTGGGTGACTTTCACTACTAAAACACAGGAAATGGTCTGCTAATATGAGTGCGTATGAGTGCATACGTGGTTTAGAGGTTACAGGCAAGATCAGAGTACATACCAATTTATATTTTGAATGATCTGACTGTGGCAGCTGATGCTGTAGTAAGTAGGCTCCGTCTGCATCTATACTTATCCCGCATATTTTGGAAATACAAATTTTCAGGACCTAACTTATGCTTGTTTTTGAAAATCTGACTTGGTCATTGAATTTGCCCTTAGAAGTGAATGATGCCTAATATTGCCACAACCAGAGTTTGTCACCACTTACTGTTTTGCTTTCTGAAGTTTACCTTGTTTATTAAGTAATTCAATATATAATAACAAGCCTGCTTGATAGCCTTTTCAGCCGCGTTATTCAGAGTAAAGATTTGAAGTGTGGGCTTTCAGCAGGATTTGTGTTGTGGTTTAACCTGGCAACAGCTCAGCACCATGTAGCCGTTCGCTCATTTCCCTCCAGGTGTGATGAGGGAGAGAACTGGAAAGGAAATAGAACTCATGCATTGAGATAAAAAATACTTTCTAAGGCTTAAAAAAAAAAAAAAAAAAAAAAAGGGGAAACAAAAATGGCATACTTATATATCCACAATGCAAGTGCTCACCACCTTTATGGCCTTCTGCATGATGTCATGCAGTATGGAACACCCGCCTGTCCTGGTTCAGTTCTGCCCTGCCTATTGTTGCTGTGCCATAAAGGCAGTGGCTCTTCCTGTCAAGTAACCTGGCTTGGTCCCACATGTGTCCCAGCCCTTTAGCAACAGGTATGGGTGTGCTATTAACACTGTCTCAGCTGCAACCAGAAAGATTTGTTTTTGCTAGTACCAGGAATTAAGAGACATAAGACTGTGACAAGTATCCAGACTATTTTTTGAGCAGAGGGAATAATGCAGTATTTTACTGAGTGCTCAAAGACAGGAATAAAATATAGATCTGGTAGACTGTAGGATTTTTTTATTTATTAGCACTAAATTGCTAGCACTAGGATTTTTTTTTCTTGTTAGCACTAAAAGACTATTATTGGACAACTTATTAGCACTAAAAGACTATTATTGGACAAAACAATCTTGTCACAGTATACAACTTAATTTTGAAATGATGTTTTGAGGGCAGTGGAATTTTCTAAATGTTGTGGATTATTTCAGAAAACCAACTGGGCATGAATTCTGGGATGTAAGAAAGCAAGATGTTGTGAAGTTTATTTACATACCTAATTATAAGTGTATAAGTATTATAAGTATTTCGGCGTGTGATTATATTTACTTCGCACTTGTGTTTTTAACCTGTAAAGTTTTGGTCTACTGCATCCTGTGTAAGCAAATGTAGCTGTCTTTAGAAGAATTAGAATGTTCTAATCACAGAGATTAGTTCTGATCTTTGCTTAGCTCCTCCTGCTCCCTTTTAACATAATCTAGCAGATGCATAACAAATAACTGGTTCCTTCCAGCCAGCTAATCCCTTTCCTTTTTAGGCAATACATATTTCGTACTACGTCTGCACTTTGTAAAATATTTTTAGTTCATTGTGACTCTTCTGAAGGTATCACAAATAATAAAACAAAGAATGCCAGTAAGTTCTGTTCATTCATGCTGCTGCTCTGATAAGAGACTAGAGGTTAAGAATTTTCCATGGCAACTAGAATGAATTAAAGGTCTTCTATGCATATGTGATGGAGTTTTATTTTCCTCGTTCAGGAATAAGTTGATGTCTTAAACCAAAATTGCTCCAAATATACTAATTCTTCAACTTCTTATGCAAGGTTAAAAGGCCAGTGTACAACTGAGGAGTTCTAACAGCCCTGAGTACAGAAATAAAAATAGTCTTCTGGATTGAGTGTTGGGGGAAAAAAGCTCATTTGCAAGAAACAATAGGCAGGCACTAGACTAGCAGCTTTGCTGCAGAGAGGCACAGAGAAAGGAAAAGTTTATTGTGTGTGAAAGCTTGTGGCCATATGTAAATATATCAATTTCTGAAAAATTTGGGTTGTTTATCCAAAAGTTCATGGTTGCTTTAATCATCTTTAAATGTCTGAAGTTACTTGTGACGATTCATATAATTGAAAGATACATATTTACTCACAGAGCACGTTAATTGCTGGATCATGCTGCTGTGCGGATGTAGAATCACAAAATCACAAAAATATTTATAGTCCTGCTTGCCATCTGTGAAGTGGATGTGCTCGGGAAGGGTAGTCATTGATTTTTTTTTAACGTACCGAAATTCTGCATGTAATTAGGAACTTGAACTTAAAAAAAAATCAGCTGTGCTACAGAATAATCACAGATCAATTGATATGTCAGTCATGTCGTTATCTGAAACCTCTCTGAAATCTCTATCGAGTTACTTTTGTTTGAAGTAGTACAAAAAGGAAAAATATGTGAAACTGAAAAAATTACTTTTTCTGAAGGAAGGGAAATTTGGACACAGCATATCAGCTATAGAATGGCATTCTTTTCCTTTTGTCTTGGTAAGCCTAATTAAATAGTTACATTTTAAATTTTTATGATAATTTTAATTATTAATGTCATCAACACTGAAAAAAAAGTAGGTTAGGTGTGGGGAGAATTTGACTCTGCAAAGACACTACTTAAAAGCAATTTTTTTTGCATGACTGAGCACATGTGCACAAGATAGTCACACTTTACAATGAGATTACACATAAATAATTTATGAAGAGTTGGTAAATACTGTAGGCTATTACAGAATCCGCAAAGTTCATAGTTTTGTTATAACTATGTATAGTACCCTCAAGTAATGTTCAACCAAGTATAATTTATGAAAGTCATATCTGTAGTATTATTTATGATGTATATTAATCATTCATTAATCCTTTATGAACTATTCATAAATGCAATCTTAGTTGAGAGCATGGCTGAATCTCTTGCACTAGTTCCCTTGTATCAGCTGCACAAGACTTGAAGGTTGCAGGCTTCTTTTCCCTTTTGTTTAACAAGCTGAGAAGTCTTTAGACAAGGCAACACATAGCAGCTGTTTCCGTACAGATTTCTACACAGAATTAGAAGACTAAGACAAGCTTTGCAGAGAAGCAGTGCTTTTAATCAGCTTTACAGAATCTTTTTTCTGATCCTTCGCCAATATTCCGGCAGAGTTGCCAGAATTCTGCTTTGCAGAGTCCATGTGAAAAAAACTGCGTATGATCTACACATAGTAAAGTCTCAGATATTGAGGACTCTTGTAAGTTTGGTAGATTGCACCAGCAAAATATGAGCCAAATGAGCACAGGAGGGTTGCTGTGAAATGTGCATGTCCATCAGTCCTTGTGGTTTCCCATAGGATAATAATCAATGTAAAATGACTGTATGGTACAGATTAGTATAATGTTTGGGAGCAGATCCTGGCTTCAAGAATTATTCTTCTGCTTCCAAAAAAAATCTGCCTGTCAAGGTGCAGCTACTTGCATTTCTTGCTGGCAAACTCAGCTGATTTTCATGTGAAGGTATGATTTTATTGGTGTTCTTTTCTTCTTTAAGTGTACTGTGAAATCTCTAGCTGAGACATTTAGTACCAGAGTACCATCCCAAAATTAATTCCTCCCACATTGTTTTGCAGGAAACAGATCTCATTCTGACATTTAATATCTCAATGCATCGTTCATGGTGGATGGAGAATGGACCAGGATGCACCGTGACCTCAGTAACACCAGCCCCAGACTGGGCTCCAGAGGATCATCGTTATATCACTGTCTCGGGGTGTTTTCTTGAGTACCAGTACATAGAAGTGGCTCACAGTTCTCTTCAGATCTTCCTTGCAGTAAGTATACAATAGATATCCTCACTCATGTTGCCCTTTTTAGCTTTCTTCTTGGAGAATCTTACTACCAGAAAAGTAGAGTGTTGTGGCCTTTATTTAAAAACCTTATCTAAATGTTGGCATTTTTAATATATAATTAATATATTCAGGTATGTAGAGATAAATATATATGTAACTGCAAATAAAACTGTTGCTATGCATACAAGTTTTGTCCAGTGCCTGGGTACATGACTCCTACCACATAAACTTCTCCTTAAGAGATTCCAATATTTTGTCCAAAGAGGGGCCATACAGGCAAAAGAGAGAGGATATTTGTTCATCCTGATCCTGAAGTTAATGTAAATCATTGGAACAGTTGCCAACATCCAATATGGCCACCAGACAATCAAAAAGTGAACAGCTTCCCTATCTGTCTTTTCCTCAGTCTAGGTGTAAATGGCCAACAACAGGTGAGTTTAGGCAAATATATCTCTGTGTCAGTACATCTCTGTGTGGGTTCCATGTGTGAAGCTTAGTGGCAGATTCACCTGAAAGTTGTTGACGGTTTACAGGCTGGTTCGGCCTGGTTCTGTGACAAGCAGGGCGGAGGGATCTGAGGATCTGCACCTCCAGAAAAAAAGGAAACAGGGGATCCCAAAATAATTTAAAACAGCAGCACCGATCTGAGGAGAAACAAACTAATTTACTAAATATAGTATCAGAATGCAAGATAACACACCATAATACAATATAATCAGAATTGAAGCTAATAAATCAAATATAATGAGAGAGAGAATGTCCGAAAGGGTGGGTAGGCTTCACCACAACGCTGAGGTGAGATGTGCAGTCCAGTTGGGCAGGGAGGGAGACTGGAGCAGCGCCCACAACACAGAGCAGGCGAAAAAGAGCATCAGGTGAACTTTCCAGGAGTTAAATCTCCTCTCCCTGACCGCGAAGTCCCCTGGGGAATGTAGTTCTTCTTCTCTTCTGGGCAGGTACCCAGGAATTGAGCACTAAGAGTTAGACTCCCAGTGTCCCAAGTGATGTTATGATGTTGAATACCGAAAACCAAAAATCACAAAACCGTGACAAAGTCCATCTACCTCCCAGGTCTCCTCCATACACCTCAGCTGGTCCCACTATAGGAAAGCATAAGAACCCTGACCAAGTAGTTATTAAGGCAGGCACTGGGCAGATCTGAAAGATAAAATAAATTTCTTGCCCAGATATGTCACATCTTCAATTATGGCAAGTTACAGCTGATACAAACAACAAGACAAGTACAAAAAAAATAATAAATCAAAGTGGCTAAGTAAACAAATTAAAATAGCTTTACAACATTATTTACAAGCAGTTGTTATTAACTCAATCATAAATCAGAGAAAGATATCTGGTCCTTTTTTATTTTATTCTGGGTTTGGATTGTTGGTTTTTTTGGTGTGCAATGAATGATGAACAAAAACCTCAAGGTATATATAGTTTAAGCTTGATTCTTTTCTTGGTACAACAAGGTTTTTTTGTGCATCTCTGCCTAAACAGAAATGTGTTTCTAGATAAGAAAGTCTTTACAAAGCAGGAGAATGGCACAGAATAACAAACCATCAGTCATCTGGTAGCTGCGGGCAGCTACAACTATTTTTATATTCCCATTCATGGTACTGCAAACATAATTATCATAGATAAAGAGCAACTCAGTAATAGTACGGGCCAGTTTTCCAGACCAGGTTCTTCAAACTTTGGTGTTTATATATTTTCACATTTCTGATAGTGGGCACGTTGTTCTTTTTCTAATAGAAGCACTAGCATAATGTCGCAATTATAAAAACATGTTGAGAAAGAGAGGAATTGCTTGGTGTGACTCAGTAACATATAACACAAAGCTGGAACAAAACATATTTCTTTGTTTTCGGTAAACAAGCTTTCAACAAACCCAAACCTTGCACCAGATTTATCTCCCTTTAGTGGAAAGAAATTAATCTTTCCTTTCAATTTCCTTTTATGGGCACTTAAGTGGATCTTGCACTTTAACTGTAGATCTATAAATTGCTACCTGCAAATTGGTTACTTGCTTTCTATTTGTGAGTTCATGACAGTGATCAAGCTAATGTTGATCTTGGCTTTTTCACAGACTGGTGGCACTGCGGTATTTTTTTAAGGATGTTTTCTACTGTCTATAGACAAAAAGTTACAAAGAAATTTGTCTCCACTGAGGCCCATTTACATCAGTCTTTGAAAACATTATGGTGTGTATATATTTTGTATAGCTTGCTGGTAAGGTTGTATGGAAGCTGGGTGCCAAAGGTTAGGCTCGACATAGACGTGGTGTTTGCTGTGGAATACTTAGTGGAAGGAATACAAGAGCTAAAATAAAAGCTATAAATTCTCCAGTATTTATACTTTCTAAAAAGAAAGACTTAAATTAGGATGTGGAATATTTCAAGAACTGCAGACAGACTCTCCTGAAGAGGTGCAGAATATTTATTTTCTGCTAGTCACCTTATCTCCCCAGATACCTCCCTGAAAACAAAAACCACCAGATTGCAAATGATCCAAATGCTACTGCTAATTTTGTGCAAGTAAGCACTGGTTTTAGTTTTCTAAGGGCGAAATTTTGTAGAACTTTCTTTGATTTTACTGCCTATTAAAAAAATGTAGTAATTAAGACAACTAGAAGGTTAAATAGTCCCAAATTTCAGAATCCTCAGCATGCAGAGTGATATTGTTCATTGCATAATACCTGGCTTAAAGACTAAAGAGAAATGATGGTGCACAGATGATTTGCTACTGCAGAGTGGGTTTTGCACAGGGTAAATAAATGACTGGATAAAATTCCTACTTCAGCCCACCTTGCAGAAGTAACAGAAAATTGTGGCTGGTGGTCTCTATGCTTTGACTAAATGAACATTTGTTGCTTAGAAAAGCTTCAAATTTGGGAAAAATATTTGAGACTTAATATGTGCAAGGAAATGCTCTGATAAAACAAGACTTCTCCTGATTTGGCTATTTAGCATTTATGTATGCAAAGGCAAGGCTGGAACAATCCACAGTGATAATGGGGGCTGCAAAGCAGCCACAACCTCTCCTTTGTCTCATACCAAACAGCATTTTATCTGGTGGTTCTGGTGGGAGACTACAGCCTTTACAGAGCTGTATCAACCAATCCTTGCATCAGAAAAAGAAAAAAATAATGCACAATTATATTTGTCTTGCAGCCATTCTCCTTTCAGCGCATATTTCTCAGCCACTAACTGATTCATCTTTGTGAAATTGACTTATTTATTTAATTGCAATGATTTTCATTCCACTGATATGATGTTTTTTTTCTGAAACATTTCACCACCAAAATGTCAGTGCCACACACCATGCTTGTCACTTTCCCTTTTGTGCTCTATAGTAATACCTCCCATATGGTTCTTTTGAGACTGAGCTGAGCCTTGGTGCTATCACTCTATCTGTGTGTATTATCATCTTCTTCCAGTAAGTTAAAGAGTGTGGCTTAGAGTGAGAAAGGGAGAAAGTGGAGAATGACGATATATGTGAAGTGTAGCTTTGCACCCTGCAGTGATGCAAAATATGTAAACATACTTTTAGGGCACCACTTGCAGCAGGCAGCTGTTTTGAACTGAACAGAACTGCTAAGGGTAGGATTTCAGTTCAGTTTTGTGTGAAACCCAGAGGTCTGGGAAAAACTGTGGGGACAGAATTTCTATTGAATGATTCTTGTCCTCCCCAATTCTTGGTGAATGCTATAGATGTGTCTGAGAAGGTAACGGCTTCACATCTGAGGTGTCACTGAATTTTGCCAACAGTAATTTTTAATCATCAGTGCTGATATATGGTCAAAAAATATATCACTTCAGCCATGGCTAACCAATTTGCCTTGTTGCACAAACCCATTTGTCCCTGCAGCTTGTGCTCACATACTAGGCCAAATCCTCTCCTTTACTTGTCTCTCCCAGGAATACTTCATTTGCAAAGCTGTGACATCTGAATACTTGGACCATTTGAAGTTCTTTGTGAAGACCACAGCTTGTCCTGTATGCCTACGTATTACCAAAATTAATTGGTCTGCTGATGGCATGACTTGGATACTCATATGTTTCATATTTTAAAGTGTCCTTATGGCTTTAATGGATATTGATTCTCAATGCTTACACTAGAGAAGCTATTTCATTTTCAGAACTCCTGGGTTATCTAGGGCAGATAAATTACTGATCTCTGGAGATGATTTTTCCAGGTAAAGAATGAGGCCAGTAGTACTAATGGAGATTTGATTTGGTACTGTTTTGTGAAATTTGAGTTGCATTCTGCATACTGTGTATGTAGTGAAGACTGAATGAAAGTTCCCACCAATCCTCAGACAATTGGAAAAAAGCAGGAGAAAAAACATGGGAAGGCAGTGCCTGGGGAGGTACAGTGAAGACTGTATGCCCCTGCTAACCTTGGCATGTAATGTCAGTACTTAGAGAGGGCATGAGCTTTATGAATTGATAGAAAATGCACCTTTTTTTGATACTGTGGCCAAGAAAAGGTCTCAAGCTCACAGTCTCACAGGTACTCACATGCATCAATGTCTAATTCTAGCTACAGATTCAGTGTACAGTTTTCTTCACTTGGGCTTTTTATTGAACTCATCTTAGTACAGCAAATGGAAATTATTTCAGTTCAGACCCTGAGCTGTGCTTCAGATCAATTGGTTCGGTTTCCAAGCCTACCATAATGTCCTTGAGAAAGTCATTTCTTCTTTCTGCCTCTTCCCAAGTGCTGCAGTGAGAAAAGCATTCTTAAATTGTTCATGTTCAGTTTATAAGATTGTAATGTTTGCATAGATAGGGATCCATTCATCTCTCAAAAAAACTCTGGACGCGGATGATACCCAGTATAGTAAGGCTGTTTTCTGGTACAAAAGAGTTACAATAATGGTAATTGCATTTCATACAGAATCAGAGCTTCTGTAGCTTCTCTACATCTTCCTTCTGCCTGTGTTCAGTGCTTTGATTATGTATGATCTGCCCCCACTC